GGCTTCCCGATTCCAGGATTAGTGGTACATTTGCATTTCACTGCTGCTAATTGCTTGCAGTGAAATATATCACATATTCAGGATTGGAATAATTCTCACCTGCATTTAATTCATGCAGCACAGCCCATTTTCTCTCTTGCCCCAAGGCTGTGTCTTGTGCAGGACTGCCTGCCTCGAGTCGTGTGTGGGAGGGATGTAGCTGCAAGAGGGCTGACATACTTGGGTAGGGGCAGAGAGGGAGCAAGCAAGGAGCAAAAGGCAAGAGGTAGATGAGGACATGAGACTGACATACTCTGGGAAGGAGGGGACAGGACAGGATGGACAAGTGGCCCCTTGCACACCAGAGTGCGTTTCTGTTGTGTCCAAACTTGATCCCTGTTTCGGTCCTGGGAGCAGGCTGTGTTTGGGAGAGAGCCTACAGAAGGGCTGTTGCCAAGGTTGTGGGGATGACACTGTGGTTCTGGCAAGGCTGGAGTGGCTGCCCTGCCAGCAGGGAGCAGCGCTGGGCTGCTGACTGGGCAGCCTCAGAGTAAGTCTTCACAGATGCTGGACCGGGCAAAAGGGCTATGTTGAACATTGTGCTGTGCCCTCTGCATGGATGGGCATGGATGAGTGGATGTGTGCCATGTTGTCCTGTGCCAGAGGCACAGCCAGAATTTTCCTCTTTTTCTCTCTCCACAGATTTACCAGGGCCCAGAGAGTAACACAGAGGTTTGTATGTTTCATCCTGGCGTTCCTGTCTTCCACGAGGGGTAAGAAACTGGCAAAGCAAACTGACCCTGCTGAGGGCTGAAAGTGTTGCATTGCAAGGTTGTGTGGCCTCAGCAGCATGACCAGGGCAGTTGTGGGTCACGCCCTGCAAGGTGACGGGTGGGCAGGAGGAGCTGTTGTTTAGGAGCCCCTCTCCCCACTCCCAACCCTGCTGTGGTTCCCTCTTCTGCTCTTGTGTGCACTCCCCCACTCAGGTCACCCTGCCCTCCCCAGGATGAAGTACTGGAGCTGCTGTGGAATCAAAACAACAGACTTCAGTGCCTTCATGGAGCAGCCAGGCTGCAGCAGAGGGTGGCACTGCTGGACTGGGAAGACGGTAAGGAGGCTCTCAGCAGAGGTGACTCAAGTGAGCAAAGTGCCATTACTGGCACTTGAGGAGTGCTCCTTCCCTTGCTCTGCATTCACACAAGTTTCTGCATCTAATTATCTTAATATTCATAATTGCTGGCAGATGACTGTGCAGGGTTTGAATGCCTAATCTTCACCCATCTGCCCTTTAAAATGCTGCTTCTGTATTCACAAGATATGTCAGCTCTCACACCCAACAGGCAGGTGTGCAATAGGAAGCAGAACAAGGCAGGACCTGGCTCTGGGTACAGCATACCCAGCACTGCAGGCTGCTGTGTAGAGCAGGCAGCCGAGCACAGGAAAAGTCCCCCAAAAAATCCAAAAGTTTTACAGATGACTGCAGAAACCTGAATTGGTTTTAATGAAGCTTTCCCTCTGCAACTGCTTCTCAGGAGGGATCTCACTGGCATACCTACGTGGTATTGTGCTAGGTCCGTGGGGAGAAGATCCCAATTTCCAGTATTGTGTGTAAGTTTCCCCAGGAAAGTTCTTGAATGGAACCCTGGTTGCACCAAAGCAGCCGAAGATAATGCTGAGAGTGCCTCTGAGCCAGCACTGCTCCTAGCAACCCTCTCTGAGCCCAATCTGTTCTTTGTCCTGGAGCAGAAAATCTATTGTGAATGTAAAGGATGCTGCAGTGAAGGAACTGTGATGTTGTGTTGCAGATGTTTTATGCTAACTGTCACCCAGGTCTGGGGCCAGCATTCCTCCTGGAGCATTTCTTTGGCTGGCAATGTAGAGGGCTGTAGGGGGTTTGTCTCCTGGTGATGCTCAGAAATGAGCTTTGTGGGGACGAAGCTACCTGTGGCACTGACAAGGTGGAGGAAGGTGAAATGTGGTCAGCTGAGGCTCTTCTGACTCCCAAATTTAGCATGATGGCATGATCCATGTCCAGCAACAGCTTCTGCATTGCCCTCCAGACTGAGTTTTCTGACTGTGCACGGCATTTATGAGCTTGGGCACAGCAGAGTGACTCTGGAACGAGGAGATGTCTCTAGTCTTAACACGCCCTGGAGCTACCCCAAGCAGAGCACAGATGTCCCATGTTGCATGGGACATTTCACATGAACCATCTTCCCTCAAAAGCCTGCACGAAAGGCGGGGTTTGGTTTTGCTTGATGCCAACCAGAAGGAGATGTGCAAAGGAGCATCCTCTGGCTCAATCATCCCTTCTGTCTGGGGTGTGCCTGAGATCCAGCTGTGCTGTGCTGTGTTCCTCTCCCTGGCAGGACAAGGCGGCAGTGTCATGTCGGCAGGACTGGCACCAAACCAGCACCCAGGTGGTGGTGACAGTCTATGCCAAGAACCCTCTGCCCACTCTCAGCAGCGTGAAAGCAAACCGCACTATGGTGAGTGGGGCCAGCAGACCTGGAATGGGGATGTGCACTTCTATGGCTCCCTCTGATTTTGGTGAGCCAACAGCCAGGACCCAGCTGGGTACCAGGTGCTGTTTGGTCTGTTGCTACAGGCAGGGTTGGCACTGCTGAACTGCTGTACCAAGCTGAGACCCTGCTGCTGCAGCAGCATCTGCCTGGCAACTCTGGCTTTCAGCTTCAGTGGGTGGCTTTGCTGGCCTTGAATCACCTCTTGAGACAGAGGTGAACCCAGCATGCTCTGAAGGGGGTGGAATGTTGCCAGGTGCTGAGGGGATCACCAGAACATTACACCAGAGCCAGGATGTGGGATGTGTTATGGTGCTGGAAGGCAGCTGCACTGGCTGGGGAAAGAGCTCTGGCAATGCGGTTCTACCCACTCAGATAATCTTCTGTTGATCTTTCAGCTAGAGGCTCATGTCATCTTTGAAGGGAATAAGATTTTCCAGGCAGAACTGGAGCTCTGGGGGGTAAGATCCTGTTTACTTTGATTTCCCTATTCCAGCAGTCTGCACGGGGCTGGGCTGCCATGCTGCAAGGCAGCCTGTGCTCTTGGTCCTGGGCTGAGTTGCCCAGGTACCAGCATTTATAGCCACCTCTGCTAGGAAATGCCTTAGGGATTGTGAGGAGGCTGTGGCAGCTGCAGTGATCAGTCCTGGACTAAGATCAGAGCTGGAGGTCACTGCCAGCTCTGTAGGTATTCCAGGTTTGGTCCCAAGCTGTTCAAATGTTCTTTGGCCCAGCAGGTCCCTGTCTCCCACTGCAATCCTGCTGTGAGTTGCAGGCAGGCAGCAGTGTGAGGGGAGAGACTGATTTTTCAGCTGCTTGCTAGCTGGGGACAAGCAGTGAGACTCAGGAATTTGCATGTGCATTTCTTGTCTGCATTTCTGGTGTGTGCTGCCTGTGCCTGCAGGAGCAGAGTGTGCTGACAGGTGTGGGTATGGCTGTGTCTCAGCACAGCTCACTGCTGGGGAGAGGCTCTGCCGCAGCTGTGCGTGTGGCTGCAGAGAGCTGAGCTCTCCTGAGCTCTGTACCAGCACTGTGGTGCTGCTCAGACATCACAACGGGAAGCTCAGCTGCAGCCCGTTTCTCCCTGCACACAAAGAGATTTCTTCTCTCTTTTCCTCTGTCAGGGCTCTTGCCAGTATGGAGAAGGATGAGCGTGTGCTGCCTGTCCTCCCCTGCCCAGCTCATTGCACCTTTCCCTCCCTCTAGATCATCGAAATAGAGAAGAGCTTTGTGAACATGGTCCCAGCCAAGGTGGAGATCACACTTTGCAAAGCAAGCCCTGGCTCCTGGGCCAGGCTGGAGCTTCTCTCTTTTCCTCTGTCAGGGCTCTTGCCAGTATGGAGAAGGATGAGCGTGTGCTGCCTGTCCTCCCCTGCCCAGCTCATTGCACCTTTCCCTCCCTCTAGATCATCGAAATAGAGAAGAGCTTTGTGAACATGGTCCCAGCCAAGGTGGAGATCACACTTTGCAAAGCAAGCCCTGGCTCCTGGGCCAGGCTGGAGCTAAAGGAG